TAAATAAAATATGCTGTCTTCTGCTCCAGAAATGTTTAACAGCAGTAAAATTACTAGACTATGAAATTTTTATCTTTTTTGTGTATAGCACATGCAGCATATAAAAATGACTTTGGAGATGTTTTATTTCCAAGATACGTCATGGTAAATTTTTTAAGCTGTTGTTTATGTCCAAAAGGGCCCTTAATTATCATCAAAGACTCCCCCCCCCAAAGCAAGAAATATTTTTATGTAAATATAGAATTTAGAATAAACACATTTTTAACAGCCAAATTGTGATTTATCAAGACCTGAATTCTAATCATTAGTAATATAATAAATGGTGATTATTGTTACAATTATTTTCACATTATTATTTCTGCTACATTAGAACTTTAAGATAGTTTAAACGTTCTACTCTGCGGACATACTGTTAATTTTATATCAACCAAAATTATATCAAACAAAATCTTACAGATTAGAACTGTAAGATAATTTAAACGTTCTACTCTGTGGACATACTGTTAATTTTATATCAACCAAAATTTTAACATCTGAACTTCTTTTCTTTCTGTTAACTCTGCCCCAAAGTGCAAATTAAGTGAGTGACATTGGCACTGTCTCTATCATATACCTCCCTAATGAATAACTCTTGCTTTAGAAATTGTGTATAAATTAGGTTGGGTGGTTATTTAAATATTGGAAAGCATACTGAGTCTAAGGGAGGAATGCCTTCATGGAGGATTTTTCCGAGGAAAAATTGCTCCTATTCACATTGCACATGGGAAAAATCGCAAAAATCATGCAGCCAGCTTGTTCGCCTGGGTTGGTTTCCTGGACAAACTGTCAGCATTCTCTAACTGCACTAACTGCTTGGTCATAGTGGGGCAGCTTAAATTAATGCTTTCTTGAAGCAATAAGATAATAACAAAATTTTAATCATTACAAAAATAAAATATGCGATAAAATTGTGTAAAGCAGTGGCACCACAATAAAACCATGGAAAATTGTTTGTATGCATAACATTCTAAATCAAAATGTAGATAATAATACTTTCTCATTTATATATCTTTTCTGAATGGCCCACTGAAAGATGCATTAACAGTGCTTTACAGTATTTTCCCTCTTAATGCAGAATAAAATTTCAAAAGGCATCATTATGAATACTGGGTGACAAAGTATTGTTTTGAAAGAAATGTATTCAAATACACAAAAATCAAATTAAAAAAATGATATAAATAAACACAAAGCGAATGAATAACTATAATTTTTTACAATAACTATTCAAAAGAACTATAATTCAACCATACAACTCTAATAACTAAAATGAAATTCTAAAAAGAAAATATATCTTAACAAGTGTGATTAGAAAATATGACATGAAAATATCCGAAAAAAGTTTTTTTTCTGCTCATGCAGAACGAAATAGTTAGCTGTAAGTTGAGAATTTTACCAAGTGAATTATTCTTAAGACGAATTAAAAAAGGTACGGTAAAGTAAATTTCAGAATTCGAGTCATAGAATTGAAATGGGGGAAAAAAAATTGGCATGCCATTTCAGAAAACGTCCAAATACATGTTAGTACTACATATAAATGTAAGTTGGCCTTTCAAGACAGTTGAATTTTGTCAATCAGTTGAGTAGAACTGGAGATACAGATCTATCCCATTTTTTTGGGGGTATATGTTTCAACTCAAAGATAAAAAATAATTATTACATTATAATTCATTGTAATGATATGGTAATGAAAATGATCAAATATAAGTAAATAAACATTTATTATACTTTGTCATAAAATTATTTATATATAGCAAAATCAAGTTTTGGGAACTTATATTTTTACTAGTGTATGTATAAATGCATAAAAGTAAACACAATGTAAAATGATAATCAACATATCTTAGGTAATTTAAAAGTAATTTTCAGCTTTCTTAAGTCTGTGCTCTTCAAGTACAGAGAAAATAAACAGGTAAAAGTCTGTAAATGATTCATATCCATCTGCTCTATTTCATAAATAAATTGGTTCATATGGCACATACATGTTTGTGCTCATGATCGCAGTTAAACTATATCATCAGTTTGTTTCTCGTAAAAATTAAAAAATTCTAATATGTGATTTTTACTGAACTTCATTGTCAATAATCATTACTGAACTTCAATTAAAGCACTTATCATCAGTCAGGTCTAACAAATTGCAAGGTATCATTTTTGTGCTACAAGATCTTCAATTTTCCTTTAAAATTCTCTAACAAATTATTGCTTTATTTTCAAGTGACTCTGTTAACACATTACTTTATGTATACTTTTTAATGATTTATAAAAATTAAGTAAAGCTGATATGAATTTCTGCTGAATAAATCTCTAACTTCTTAATTTTATGTAGTTGAAAAACATAAATTTTGTATGCTTTTGTCTTCGTGCCATATCCCACTATAATTCGTTTTATACTTTCAGCTCCATCTTTCCACATTTTACATAAATACACGCTTTACATCCAAATCCTTTAAGACAAGTAATATCAAACTTACAACTTCTGTATATTTCATAAGGTTTTACTTTTGTCTATTATGTGACACCTATTATTCACATGAATAACAAGTATCACATATACAGCATGGATATTCCACAGCAATATCTACACTAATAGGCTACTTTAAGTGTTTCACTCCAGAATTTTATCCAGAATTCTGCATCAACCAACACTGTTTCTAGCAATCTTGATTATAATACAGTTAAAGTGTTCCAGTTCTTCCCTTGCTCACAGATACGTAAGGCACCATCAATTCATGTTTAATTCTAACATTAATTTAGGCACCATTAATTCATGTTTTATTTTAACATTCTAATTTCTTTTAACTAAGAATTTATTCTGAATTCTGCTCAGATTTTCCCTGTTTGCCTTTCTTCTTTTCCTAAGCTTTATTAAAGATTCTGCCATCTCACTCTTTTTCTCAGTTGCAACTACAAACATAAAATTATTATTATGATCCACCACTGTTAAAAAATAGCAACTTTCATCTAATGACGTCTCCACTGGTCCTACTAAAACTGTATGCCATATCTTCAGATTGTTTGAATTTCACAATTGTATAAGAATTGCATGTTGTTTTTTCTCAATATGCAAGCTTTTAAAAATTTTTATATCTCCTAATCCAATCATTGATGAAATTTTCATTTCTGTTAATCTTTAAGAAAAAATAAAATTTAAATTATAAAAAATTAGCAATTTAACAGCAAACCTGTCTAAATTCCATTTCACTTGCACTTTTGTCAAAAGGGAACAAAATAATTTGATATTCTATTACGCTATAACACTAGCAAATGGCAGCCATTTAAACAGACTATTTTTCAATTTCTGCATCAAACATAAAAACTGTATTTTTGAAATACTGTAGGTGTGGCTTTGAGATTTTATCTATATATTTAAAAAAGTTGCAGCTAAAATTGAAGTTGATAAAATAGAAAGGAATATTTTTTATGCATTTTAGGTACTATGTCCTCCTAAAAAGGCTTATGAAGATGTTGCAGAAATTAGTTCTATGGGCTGAATGTTCACATGTGCTCAATGCAATTTTTAAGATTTTTCAATTCAAGCATTTATATCATCAGTGAGACCTAGAAAATTGTTAATTTTGGAAATATCATCATTCTTGTCGTATAAGATCTTTAATTTTCAATTATTATTATTTCAAATTATTGTTTATTATTTCTGTTAACACATAAATTTGTGTATACTTCTTAATAAAAATCATTAAAAAGTGTACACAAATTAATGTGTTAACAAAATCACTTGAAAATAAAGTATAATTAAATTTTTATATATACCATAACTGCCAACTTTGAAATATGAAATGCACAAAGGCACCACCTTAAAATAACTTGAAACTGATTTAAAATCGTTGATTTAGTTTACTCAACTATTTATGTTATGATTCTGACATAAAATATACTATTACATAATCTAAATTTTTTGTCATTTTGTAATTTTCTTACACTCTTTATACTGAGAAAATTCTTGAGAAAGCTGTAATTTATCAAAGCAATTTTTAACATGGCAAAAATAAAATTAATAATAGACATACTGTCATATGGATAAACTTAGCAATATATCATATATCAGTAAGGTACTTTCCCTCCTTTCAGCATGCCTTCTTGGTACAACTGGAAGCACATTCGGGTGCAATCAAGAGGTTTGGAATTCGAATCCTAGCAAAGATATTTCACATTTATTATGTCTCCTCTTTCTAAAAATAAAGTTCTAAAGTGGCACAAACTAAAGCACAGTGAACCAGCATTTTTTCCAAAGCACGCCTGTGCCTTTGTGTAATTAGAAGTATGTTTGGCTAGCAATTGGAAGGTCCTGAGTTTGAATTCCAGTGAAGGCACTGGATATTTTTCATGTTTAGTGCTCTGAAATGGACTTAATGACTCTAAGTATTGATTACATCAAAATTGAATACAGATATTTAATGATTAAAAATTTGGTTAAATCTTAATATTAAGATCTATAGCAGATAAAGACAATTTAAATAAAATAAATTTAAGCTTCATTAATTCACTAATGAAACTCAAACTGTGCAAATTTATTTGCACCATTTAATTTTATTGCTGAAAATTCATTAATAAAGGCTAAAAATTAAAAACCCGCGAGACCAGGAGATGTGTCAAAAAACTGGGAGAGTGGACAGCTATGAAATCTGTTTAAATTGTTAATATAATTAATAAAACAGAAGACTGCCCTCATATGTTCTGCCTTAAATGACTAAATGAGCAAGCAAATAAAATAGATTTGTAATCCCACATACTATGTATTAGGCTCTAAAATAATCATCTGGAAAACTATCTAAACAACATATTTCTTATATTTTCATATAATATTAATATTTTCTTTTGAAAGGTTCTCCTAATAACAATAGCTGAATACCACTTACACTAAAATATAATATTTTGATTGTGGCATGGAAAGAAATTAAATGAAAATGACTAACTGCTGAAATCTGCATTAAATAAAACTTCAACACTCAAAGAATACAGGTGCACTTTATTCAGATTATAAAGCAATTGGTTTCAGTTCACGGATTTTAATAACTCATTTGGAAAACAAACACCCACCCATATATACACAAAGTTCAAAAATTAAAATTAAAAACATGTATTTTTAGACACTGAGTTACACATCTTTACATTCAATGATACAACTGGAATGTTACCAAGTTACTAAAAAAAGAAAAGTAGTTTCTCTAGCTATTAAAAGAAAACTTACACAAAACAGCAAAACACTGACATACTCATGTGTAACATTTTCTCTATGTAAAACAAATACACATTCATATATGTTTTAAATAAACAATTACAAGTCTCTGATTTCAATGTTCAATATTTTTTCAACAGAAAAGAATATAAATATTCTGATGAACAGATTGGAATATGAAAAAAAAAAAAAAAAAAAAAAAAAAAAAAATTAAGTATTTTAAAATGTATTTTATGGAAATAAAAAATTTTACATATTATATGTTATGCAATTTCCATAGCAATATCCATGCATAAAAGCTATTAATATTTAAACAGTGAGAAAGAAACTCATTTTCTCTACTATGCTTTTATAACTTGGAGAAAAACCATCTACGGAAAAACATACATTCAATATATTACCAAAACACAGTATCATATCTCTTCATGTAATTTGGAGTAAATTATTAATTTGTATAATATTTATTACCTCCAAAAAATAAAATATGTACTGCTTAATTTTTGACATATAAGCAAAATAATCCATTTCTGAATTTGCGTTCATCTTTCTTTTTTGTATAACATTATACGCTTAAAGAAACAGAAACAACACTGAAAAGTTAGATAAAATTATCACAAACGGTTAGATTGTATAAAATGAATAAAACACTAAGTAAGAAAGTTTTTGTGTTCATCTTTTGCTACATTTGACTCTCAATTTAATGAAGGTAGCCAGAATTTAAGTTATAAGAAAGTTCACAAAATAATTTTTCCTATATAAAGTCCAAAGAGAAAAAAGAAGAAGGCTAATGCTAATAGAGTATTAGAAATCATTGGTTGTTCCTTTTTAAATGGTGAGTGACGCATTTCTGATTCTGCTGGCTTCACAGAAGTCCCTCTGGTTCTTGTATCATGAGCCACCCTTGATCTTAAGCCTTCTTCCTGTTGGAGGAGAAAAAGTAAGATACTGGAATATACTAGTGCCTCTGCTATAAATCTGATTTAGAGCAAATTTGGCAATTAATATCATCTGGAAATTCTACAAGCAATTTCAAATCAGAAGAGAATTAAACAGAAACCTAAATTAATAATTAAGAGACAGTTATTTCCACCTAATGTAAATGGATGGCTAAAAAAACTCGCATAAAAATAGAAGCATAAGAAAAATATATTAAAAAAAATTGCTGCTCATTTAAAATAATTCTACATATATATGCAAAGTAGAATTTTACATTTTCTTAGTTGATGTTAACTTTCCAAAAAGCAGATTTATACACACGAAAATAATTGTAGAGGATATAACTTCTGAAGTGAAAAATACTTAAGACCTCTTTGACATCAACTCCTAATGTCTCCATAGAAGTTACATGCACCAACTGGTAAGTTTTCTGCTATAGTAACTAACTATAGTTAACTTTTATGCTTAACTACTAATATACAAGTTAACATTCAGAAGTAAAATTTAACACTATTAACTGGAACTTGTATTTTATAATTAAAATAAAAAATAAATAATAATTAAAAAAACTAAATTTTGATACTTCTTGTCAACTTACAATAGCTGCTTGTCAAAGTGTTAAGATGAAGATGGGATTACAATAATAAATTTCTCATTATCTTACGATAAAAACTGCTTACATATATACTAAGACTGAAACACGATTACAACAACAAAGTTTACACAAATTTACAACACATTCTGGCTGAAGCGGGAAAACTAACTTAATCAGCTATTAAAGCACCAGAGGTGATAAGTTGTTTTGTATTATTTTTTTAAGTTTCACAAATAGCACAGTCCCTGCCCAAAAAAGAATAAAACTGCCATTATTTTACTTAAATTTATTTATTTTTAAAATACAATTTACACCTTTTCAGAAATGCAATCATTTAAAATGGTGCATTGGTCTGCTACTCAAAGTGACCTTTGAGCCAAAACAATTGCTCACCCCTGTACTACATCATGCTTTTATGTCACTATATATTTAATAGAATTTGAATTTTTCAGGTATAAAAGCATACCAAGATATAAAGCTAAAATATGATGAATACAATAACACGAGAATGAATTATGATGAATAAAAAAATTTAATGAAGTCCATAAATGTACTAGTATTTGTATGTTCACCAGCACAAACATGATTTTGAAATGCAACCACTTCTTTTTGTTATAAAATATGCAGTTTTGTAGTCATAAATTTCTTATACAGTTTTCATTTGCTTCAAAGCAATAACAAAGGCCAGCTATTAAAAGCACCCTCTCCCCTCAAGCTTTTAACCTTTAAAAGACAGTTAAGTTTAAAAAGGTTTCACTTAAAAAAAAAAAAAAAGGGGGGGGCAATATGAATCTAATTAACCCTTCTTTTAAGCTGGAACTGTAAAGGGAACTACTGAAGACTTTTGAAAGCCTGTCCTTGATTGCTTTTGTTAATTTTCAGATAAGACACTAGGGAATATGAAGGAACTTTTTCTGCTGACTCATTCTTAAACTAGGGAAACCTATGAAGTAACTCTTTCATAGTGGAAGGATGGAATATTACTTTATATTGAAAATATGCCTTGGTAGCAAACATTTTCTAGGTATGCCTAACATCAGTAAATAGTCTAATCAGTTTTTGTTTGTTTTGAAAACCGAATCTAGTTTAGAATTACGGGTATTGATTAACAGTTTTAATTTATTTAAAACACGAAAATAATTTTTGAACGTTTGTTTCTTGCACAAATCGTCAATTCACATTATTTTTTTTTATAGAAATCGAGTACCAGTTTTAACTTAATACATAAATATTAACCAAATACCCATCATGTATTATGATATTAGCTTCTTTTTCACTTGAGTTAGCAAATATTTCATCATTCAAACTATATCTCCATCCATTTTTCTGTCCTGTCTTTTTGTGATAAAGCTTTCTTGCTTTCTCTTTTAATGAGCATGTTCTTTATAGTATTATCCTATAGCTAAAATTTTTTTGGATAATATTTTCATTGTACTTATTGCATTTTGCATCTTTCAGATGGCAGTATTAGTGCAGAATTCTAGACAGGAAGTGAATTATGCAAAACATACTGTAAGCTTTTGCCCCAAGCTAACATTCCTCTGTTGAGGGAAAATGCAAAATTTACGAAATGGTTGTGAGTAGTGTGAATTTAATCGCACAAGAGGCAGAAAAGGCCATTGAAAAATTGCTATCCTCAAAGCTTGAGGTGTTAAGAGGGCAGAACCTCTTTTGCCGATATTTCAGTCGGAGCATTTTTTTTGTTTTGTTTGAGACGTTGTAACTTGACCTATTTCGACCACTATCTTCAAAGCATTACTCATTCTGAGGAAAGATACATTTAATGCAAGTACTTTTCTTCCATTAATTTCATGGACTACTACAATAACTTGTATGAAAAAAAGAACCTTTTTCAGCATTCTTAAATCATGGAGTTCCTATGAGAATACTAAGGATAGAAGGTCAACAGATTTTCGCTCTTACAATCAAAAATTTGATACCAGAAATTAATATAAGCAAAGATACAATTTACCTTAAGAGATGAATTCTCTTGACGAAGATCAAATAATTCATGTTTAAGTTTTTTATTTTCTTCATACAATTTCTTTGATTCTGATTCAACTTCACTAGACACTAAAAAATAAAAAAAATATATATATATATATATATAATACAAATTAAACAATCAAAAATATGCAATAATACCCAATTATAACAAATTAGATTTAATGTTCCATGAATGCTACCTCAAAAATAATGAACAGTTTATATTCTTTTTATAAACTATTTTCCAAGCATCAAATGATATAGCACAACTTTTTATTTTTTATTTATCACATTTTAATCAGCAAGAATTAAAAAATACCCCTTTTTAAGCCCCAAATAAGTTAAAAAAAATTCTAGTCTTAAACAGAAGAGGAAAAGAATGTTTTAGCTCTTTTTCTTCACAACATAATTTCATTCCGATATAGAAAACAAGATATTTCTTCGTGTGAAAAGGATGCCAAAGGTTAGACATTTTCTCTTAAAAATACACTAGGTCTTCATGAAATATCAGTCTTATTTTTATGTCTAATAACCTTTATAGATTAATTTTGACAAATTAACACAAAATTTTAAAGCTCCATTAAATCAACAGGCAAGGAATATTATAATCCTCCCAAATTAAAATCTAATATATGGTGTTAAGGTGACATATTATTTACTGAGAGAAAAGAAAATAATTCAAAAATCATAACTTCAGGCAGTGATAGAAATAAAAAATGGGAAGACAGAAAGAATATTGCGACTGTTTTTACAAGGCAGATACTTTTCTTAATGAATAATCTGAAAAATTTTTTTGAAAGTTTCATATAACAGAAAACAAAAGAAAATTATTTCAAAATAAGGGATACATTCGGACTTTCTTTGGATACAGTTGTTATGCATCAATATAAATGGGACGTCATGCATAAATGTGCTGCACAGTAATGCAGTAATTGATCGTATGCATGTTTAGCAACATGAAATGACGTATAGTAGTGAATTTTTTAGTTGAAATTAAGCAGAGTACGGCAAGGGGATGATCTGTCCATGATGTGACTGCAAGATATACATAAAAGTAAGAGTGTTGATGTCAACTATGCATAAAAGTAAGAGTGTTGACGTCAGCTATACGTAAAAGTAAGCGCACATATGCTCATGTAATTTCTTGTTATGTATTAATATTTTTTTAAATGAGCAGTATTGGCTATTGAGGCAATGGTGCAGCACCAACTCACCCAATCGCTTGGAGTCTTGCAATACATGTATAGTTTATTCTAAGGAAATCATAATATTACTCACAACTACTCAGCAGTATTCCGTGATTTTTGAAAAAAGGTGAATGGTCTGCATTTCATTATTTAGCCAATCCTAGTAACCTTTAAGAAAATAACAAATGTGGAACATGTTGATGTTAACAGATGATCAAAGTAAGTGCTTATGATGATAAATAAATAAATAAATATGAAAATGTATAAGTGATGCAAAGGTTGATGGTATAGTTGCAACAGACATTTATTGGGCAAGTTACTACCATACCTTAGCACTAACTCAAGTTTTTGGTAGCAGTTAATAAAGAATTACAACAATCTATGATAACTCAATCTGTGAATATATATAATTCAAGCTAGTTTTTGGATTTAAACACACAAAATTTCAATTAAAAAATTATAACAGCAAAAATAATGAAAATTTTTTTATACACATTTTTTATACACATATATACATACAAACTTTTTAATAACAATGCATTGCACTTAAAACACATTTTTAATGAAGTGAATTTATTTTATTACTGTATTTTCTGCATGTATATCAGTCTTTGTTTTACCGTGAATATTAGTCATGAATCTCTATTTTTCACATGAATCTCTGTTTATTTTTCATTTTAGATAAATCCTTTTCTTTGGATATATATTCCACTGATTTTTTAAATTCATTTTACGTGTTTAACAAGTGTACAGTTTTTTTTTTTTTTTTCTTTTTTTTTGTCCACATGTTTTCAGATACTGAGTTTCATTTTAAATATATTTTATACCACGTTTATCTAAACTCTGTAAAATGAGCAAGCTCATTTATCCATCTTTCAATAAAGCAGATCATCGAAAATGGTGCCTGTAGAAGTCTTACCTTCATCAAAAATGCAAAACGTGGTAAAGAAAAACTGGCCAAGAGCATTTTAATAAATCCAAAATCTCAATTGTTTAATAATTTTTTTCAATTTTTATAATGTTATATTGTTTTAATAAACCAACTGCATATGCAGAATTACTACAGGAATTAAATTTAGTGAAAACTTTATTGCAGGGATTTTGATAAATAGTACATTTATATTTTCTTTCATTTAAGAGTATACAACACTTCAAAAATAATTTCACAAATATTTTGATGTGTTTTGACAAAAAAAAAAAAAAAAAAAAAAAAAAAAAAAAAAAAAAAAAAACTTTTCACTTCCTGAAAATATTTACCTCATATTTATTTTTTTTCTCTACTTTGCACTGGCATTATTTTTTATCAGACAATACCGTAATTCTTAAGGTATGGATATATTTGTATAGTTACTTATGTGTACACTCCAAATTTAATATAAAAATTGGAATAGATGAAATGTATACAAAATTGAAAAAGACATGGCATAATCTATAATTCATAGAATTCTTTAATCAAATCTCTTGATCCCAAGATATGCGAATTATCAGAATTCTACTTCACATTAAGTAATGGAATTATCATCATATGTTTCTTTCTTTCTTTTTTTTTTTTTTTAAATTTACAGATTAACATGCAGATCGAAACACAATTCTGTGATGTATTGGTGATATAAAAATTCTCCTAAGAAAAGTTTATGGATCGATTGAATGCAAAACTGAACTCCCGAGCCAGACAAAATTTCATTTTTTCATTTATATTTCTCGCCTACAGATGTTAAAAATAGCTTTCTATGGAAATATCTTCAAATCTTACCATAATCTTTCAAAACGGAGTTTATTTTTTTGTTTGTAAAACAAGTTCCTCTGACGAATACTTTAAGGAAAAACATTGAAGACCAGATACAGTGAATATGATAAGTGCATGACCACAGCAATTTGGTTTTATTTCAAACTTTTTTATTCTTATTACTGACCATCTGGATTGCAAATTAAAGACTATATGAAGTAAAAATGAAAATATTTAGTTAAAAAACAAAATTCAAGATAAATGTGAGGTACAGAAAGGTATGCAAGTTCTCCAAATTCTTAGAAAATTTAAAAAGATAAAAACCTAGTGCTTAAGATATTTTCAAAAATCAAAAGGATTTACTTTAAGAAGGAAAATTCATTCAATTTTGAAGAAGACAGTTTTATAATATCGAAATAACAGCTACAACTAATTATAAAAGCCACTCCTCAGATTACCTATTGAAGGTCAAATACTTCAACAACCTAACATTTGAGATTTTGGAATATAAAACAGAAATGCTTAAAAATCACAAACTTAAAGAATTCTAAGAGTTTTTTTTTGGGGGGGGAGGGGGTTTGAAGAGACAGTTTATCTTCAACTAGTATTAAGCAGTAAAAATTTCAGTAATGTTGATGGTAAAAACAAAATTACACAGAAAATGACAATGGATGAAAGAAATAATTGTTCAAATGAACTACCCTATAATTTTAAGAACAAACATAAAATACACATAATAATAAACTAAACATATTTTTTATTTTTTAAATTATAGAAACCACTCCTCAGATTACCTATTGAAGGTCAAATACTTCAAAAGCCTAAAGCTTGAGATTTTAGAATATAAAAAAAGAAATGCTTAAAAATCACAAACTTAAAGAATTCCAAGAGTTTTTTTTTTTTTTTTTTTTTTTCTTGTGGTTTTGAAAAGACAGTTTATCTTCAATTAGTATTAAGCAGTAAAAATTTCAGTAATGTTTGATAATAAAACAAATAAAATTACACAGAAAATGACAATGAATGAAAGAAATAATTTTTCAAATGAACTACCCTATATATATATATATATTTTTTTTTTTCCCAATGGCAGACTGTGAACAATTACAAATGTAACCCAGTCCATTAATCTATACAAGGCTGGATGTGTTGGTCTCTTTATTATAGAGGCACCTAAAAGGTGAGCCACCATCGCCTTTCCTATGAAGTGATGGACAGTTACAATCATGCCTTCTCCGGGATTCAAACCCAGGCCCTTCGGCATCGCAGTCAGCTTCCCTGACCACCATACCGACCGGGCGGCACTACCCTATATTTTTAAGAACAAACATAAAATATGTATAATAATATACTAAACAGATTTTTTTTAAAGTTCTGATAGAATATAAGTATTTTCTTAATACAGTCTTCATTGGGCATCAATGGAAGAACATTTTCATTATCAATAAGACATGACTATTTTACAAATTTCAGTCAAAACATAAAGAAAAAATTTTTGGTCTCATAGGTGGCCCATGTATAGTGGCCAGAAAATCAATTACAAGCTTCCTACATATCCATGAATTAACAATTTTTAAGTTCTTTTAAAATAAAAAATAAAATTATTAAAACAAAATCCAAAAGTACAGTTTCAAATGTCTATTTTGAACTTGCATACCTTTCTGTACCTCACATTTATCTTGAATTTTGTTTTTTAACTAAATATTTTCCTTTTTACTTCATATAGTCTTTAATTTGCAATCCAGATGGTCAGTAATAAGAATAAAAAAGTTTGAAATAAAACCAAATTGCTGTGGTCATGCACTTATCATATTCACTGTATCTGGTCTTCAATGCTTTTCCTTAAAGTATTTGTCATAGGAACTTGTTTTACAAACAAAAAAATAAACTTTGTTTTGAAAGATTATGGTAAGATTTGAAGATATTGCAATGAAATGGCTCAACAGAAATGATGTTATGTAGCTACAAAGAAATAATATTTAATTTTTCATAACTGGATAATAATACATAAATAACTGTTCAGATTATTTTTGTATTATTTATGGATTATTATGTAAATTTTAACAAAAACTGAAACTTACCTTTACAGGTACTTCTTGAACATGATGAGTAGTCTTTTGTTCAACTTTTGGTTGTTCTGCTACTTCAGCAGATACCTAAGAAAAGTCTATTTATTAAAAATACGACACAATATTAATAATGTAAAAGATTAAACATAACCGTATAAAGAATTACTTGAGTAGAATCTGCAGGAATATCAAATACACATTTCAGTTTAGAATTCATTAAACCTTCTGGAGGAACATCCCGCCACTAAATGAGAAATAAAATAATCAATATATTGCCTGAAAACTTTTTTTTAAATGAACAATAAATCAAACTCTGAACATTTTCAAACATACATTTTAACAAAAAATTGCATTTCATAAAATTCACATGACAATGAATAATACAAAATTACAAAAACAGATCTTTTAGTTCTTAAAAGGTTCATTCATCAATAGCACAAATGTGATAATTCTTGAGGTACCTAAGCTATCTTTTCTCTGTCTATTTCTCTCTCAGCTACATTCTTCATAACCAACCATCCACATTGTGATGACACCTTTTACGATAAGGGATACAATGGAGATGAGGTTGATGCTCTTGCTTTATTTACCACTTAGTATTTTGAAGCAATGTTGCTAATTATGAGTTTGTCATGCATCAAAACAGTGTCCTTCAAAAGTAGGATCTTGACAGTTGATGGGTGAAGTACTGACTTTAACACACTGCTTCAAACAAACAGGTAGCACTATCAATACTGAATATTGTCTATCAACCGGTCTCTTGAACTATGCATCAGCAACTCGAAATAAGTGAATCTCCTTCCTCTGAATAAACTTCCAACAGCAAATGAACCACAGCATGGTATAAAACTCTTATTTTTCTTACAGAGATAACTTCTCCTGCGCAAACAGTCAATTTAATGAAAATCATGAGCTGACAGGACTTTTTTCATTAAACAAATGCACAAAATTTTCTTATGATGTGATCACTAAAGCAGATCTCATTTTGGTATCTAAGGAGACTGCAGCTAAACTGGAAGATTAAAATACATGGAACAATAAAAGAATAAAATTTCTGTAAAGAAGATCAGCTGTTTCTTACGAAGCCCAACCTTAAAATCATAAAGGTGGCCTATCGGCATTCCTGAGTCTGGCCTCATATGTTCTAAATGTCATGCATTACTTTTGATATCAGTAGTTAGTTAAATAAAAAATAATTTATGTTAAGTATTAAAAGCAGAATGGGAGCTTTATAAATATTCAATGATGAATAGCTAACATATAGACTCCACTGATAAGAAGTATACAAAACTAACCAAAAATCCACTTATGGCAGCAGCCATGAGAAGTCGTGACATCATACTGCGACTTTTTATGATTTCATTTTTGTTGTACATGACATATGGGGGAGGCTTACTCCTTTTATTTTAATCTCCTTGTTTATAAATGTATAATGCAAGTTAAAAGTCCTAACAAGTCGTTAGGTATTAAAGAAAGATGGATGGATGACCTTTGCACCCATCCTCTGAGGAATTTCCTTCAAAATTTTGATGGAACTGGACAAAATTGTTCTGCCCCTTATAAGCTGTCCAAGAGCAATGCCAATGACAAACACAATGTTGCACACCTAGCTGTGGTACACAGATGGCATCAATGGTAATGCTTTGGAGTAAAAGTAACATCAGTACAAGCACGTTGAACTTTTGTACTTATGTTACTGTAATGTGAGTAAGTGATAACAACAAACTTCAAAATAAAGGAAAACAGTCAATAGTACTGTCCATTTTAATACAAGTTATTCTTTATTCATACATTTCTAAATTATCCTTGGATTAAACACGATTTTGCATTAACCATTGATGCCATTTCTGGACTACTCTGGATAATCAAGAGTTGATTGTACCGTGAATATACTTTGCCGTGACTAAATACAGCTAACTTCAAGTAAAAAAGCATTCATCTAATTCAAATCTGATGCTAATCCATGACTTGAAATGACTGCATACTGATATAAATTTTTAGTCAGCAAACACTAGGATAACCAAAATCAATGGAGCGAGAAAAAAATAATTCAAATATAATGAAAACTCATATGCAAATATTGGTAATGATATAGTACGCTAGCTACTACTTTCAGTTATTTATTCATTTTTTAATGGCACTAATAATTTTTTTTTAAATTATCCCTCACACCCAAATTTTATTGCTTGTTCGAATAAGAAAGCTATTGATTTTTTTTTTTTAAATGAAGCTGGTGTGCATGGTTTTTGATGTTTCTATGTTTTGCATTGTTTCTAGACATATTTTTGATGCTGATTCCAGAAACATAAATATTTCCACCCCCATCATGTAAGTTTTTTTTAATTAAAATTTTTTTATTGCATGTTTTATATGGAAAAATGCATTTGCATTTAATAATCTTCTAACAGATGGCAGCATTTTATTTTGAATAGTTTAATCATGTGGCTCTTTTAAATTACCATTAGCCTTAAATTAATCATTTGCTAAGTTTCAAGTAGTTATTTTCAGTGTTTTTAACTAGTATTTTATGAAGTATGGCTTCCCATAAATGCGTGAATGATGCCGATATATAATGCTATATTTATAGAAACTATGCGCCAGTAAAATGAAAGAAAAATATCACAGAATTTGTTAAAAATGCATACACTGCATTATTTTGGAATTAAATCTGGCTATTAAGACAAGCCGCAGGCTCTGCATAAAGTATCTTGAATTGGTGTTGATGCTTTGCGCCGTTGGAGTAAAAGTAAGAAAAATTCAATGCCTTTTGAAAGAAGAAGTGAAGAAAGTACAATTGATTTTCTAATGGTGTGAAGAGAACAAAAGAATCATTATGATAATTGTTATTTTTGTGTGACAAATGTTACTGGTTACAATGCAAAAATTAAGGAGGTATTGTATATCCAAACCTACCTTCAGCAATAAGACCTATAGGTTATAATGCAAATCTTCCTATTCCTTATCTTCAAGCTAATATGGAAAATATAAGTGATATAGGAATTTATTCAGATTTGCGATTAATTGAAGAAAAGGAAGATCTGTACATACTTGAAACAATACCAATATTATTTAATCAAAGCAAGCTTAATGATTTAGTAAGAGAGCTAAACTTGGCAAAGAGAAATGTTGAACTTCTTGGTTCATGCTTTAATGCTAAAAATTTACTACTACCACAAACACACTTTTCATGGTTTAGAAATAGTGAAAAAAAATTGGTACCATATTTTTCAGCAGAAGATTCACTTGCATTTTGCAATGATGTAAATGAAATAATGAATTTCTTTGGTATTCTTCAAAAAGAAATTTGAAGGGAGTTTTACTTTATAATGGAAATCAATATGCATTGATTCCAGTGGCACACTCTGTCTATATGAAAACATTGCATTTTTATTAGACAAGATGAATTATAATAAACATCAATGGCTTTTATGTGATGATTTCAAGGTAACTGGAATGCTACTTGGACAACAATCTTGTTATGTTAAATTTTTATGTTTTCTATGTGACTGGGATAGTCGGGATAAAAAGAAGCACTGGGGGAAAAAAAAGATTGGCTTTCCTGAGTGCGTTTATCACCTGGTTTTAAAACTTTCTTCGCAAAAATCACTATTTGAATCCAAAAATATTTTGCTTCCTCCACTTTGCATTAAATTAGGTATTATGAAACAGTTTGTCAAAGCATTAAATAAAGAAAATGATAGTTTAAAGTACATTTGTGGTAAATTTCTTTCTATTTCTGATGCTAAACTTAAGGAGGGAATTTTTGTTGGACCTCAAATTCAAATTCCTTGTGTTAGATTTCAAATTTAAAGCAGCGATGAATGACTGTGAAAAAGAAGCATGATTGAGTTTTAAACAGGTGAATGAACATTTTTTAGAGAACAAGAAACATCCAGATTACAAAATTATTGTAGAAGAGGTGCTACAAAAATTAAGATTGCTCGGATGCAACATGAGTATTAAATTACATTTTTTACATGGAGGCACAGATTACTTTCCAAAGAATCTAGGAAAAGTCAGTGAAAAACAAGGTGAACAATTTCATCAGGATATGAAAAACATGGAAATATAGTACCAAGGAAAGGTGGAATAAAAAACACGATAACAGACTATTGCTGGATGCTGAAAAGAGATGTACCAAGTGAAGAAAGTACAAGCAGGCGAAAATCAATCAAAAGAAAATTCTTGCCTTGAAGATAATGCTTAGCTTTAACTCATTCAGCTAATTTTATAACATTCATTGTATAAGAGCAATATATGGAAGTATATTTTTATGTTCTTTCCATTTGATTATATACTTTATATAATATACTAAATCTATTAATATATTTATATACTTTATAAAACATTAAATATATTTTTGTTATTGTGCAATTTATTTATAACTTGTAAATAGAATCGTTTTCCTTTCTGTATTTCTAATTATTTGTATTGATTTCCATATTTAAAAATAGCATTTTAGTGGTGCCACCTAAATAAATAATTAACTAAAAGCGGTAGATCATATACATCATCATCCAAATATCTTTTGAACTAGTAAGAAAACTAAAATTTAGTACACAATGAATGAACAGCCAGAACTTCAGCACATCATAACTGAGCACTTTGAAGGTGTATAAATATGTAAAACCAATTTCAGAGGAAAAACTTCCATTAGATTTTTAATTTAGTTATCCTACTTGATTGCAACAATGCCTCTTTGAGAGATTAACATTAGTTTTAAACATATCATGATTTGAAAAAGGTTGTGTCATCTTGGTGAAAGAAGTTAGAAGGGCAAACCGAAGAATTACTCAACATTTACATCGCAGCGATATTCTTGACATAGATTTCAGCATCAAGAAGGCAGCAGCTGATTTCTGGCAACAACAAAATGGGAAGACAGTGTGATTGTTAAAAGCAATTAATTTGTCTACATCAAATAGTAATTATGACCTGCATACAAATGAATAATATGACTATTCATAGCTGACACAAAGAGCAGAATCTATGATAGCACCACCAATTACCTCTGAAGACTGTATTCTGTCAAGTGCAACCGTAATGGTGGTGGACTCAACTGACCTGGAATTGCACTGACTGAAGAACTAAAACAATACTGAGATCTTACTTCTACTATTGCAGGACATGCAAGCTATACTGAGTTATGATTGGATGCCACTCCTTTTGCTACTCAGCCACAGTTAATAATCATTGGATTTCTTAATGTTTTTTTTTCAGTGGTAAGTTATGGCACCCTTATAGCAAAGAGGTAAGCTGATGAAAACAAAAAATAAAAGACTAAACTTCACATTTAAAAACATTAAATATAGCCTGCAATATAATTTCAACTATAGGGTTAAGGTTTTTACCATTTTTTTCCTACAGGAACTTTCGAAGTTGCTTAGTATTTCATACAAAACATATCAATTTTCTGACAACATTCACATACAGTTTTTTACAATATGCCCCATAGATTTAGTTATTTATTAAATGATTGTACATTGTAAATAGGGATTTACCTGAATGCTTTACAGGACATTTTGCGATATAAATCTGCATTATACACTTACACTGAATCCTAGATATGCATGTTTGTAATTTATCACAGGGCAGAAAGACATTTACCAGTTACTTCAATGTTTTACAAAAGTACAATTAATTGCAAATATGAAGGCGAAAAATATCTTTTAATATTTCAATAATCTTACCACAGTTTCCTGATTAAATTCACCATCTGGTACAAACATACTTTGTACCATGAACTTGTGCCTGTTTCTGTCAGCATTTTCTAAATCAAGTGGTTGCAACATAACTGAAACAAGAATGTTATGTTTAAAATTGGATTATAAGATAATTATTTAAATTTTGTTTCACACAGATCCACAATGATGCTCATTTTTATTTTTGCATATACTAGGTACTTAGACAATTTAACACACAGAAACTAAAATGTCATTTACATGAACATCCCCATTTTAAGTATCAATATGTGAAGGTTTTATACGATTTAGCTGCTTAAGCCCTTGCCTGCGATGCCTGAACTCAAATTTCATTCAAACCACATTATGTTTATACTATGTGATGTTTATACCACATTACATTTATACTATGTGAGAGTAAGACTGGCTACATTTTTGCAAGCATCATCTACATGGGAAAGGGTACAAAACTTGGACAACACAAATATGCCAATTGGAATGCCCAAACTCTAAGAGAAAAATAGGCATTTCAAGTCTGTGAAGCCCAAACTCAGTTCATCCAATGACTAATATGTAATTTACCATTTTCCCAATAGATGGCGATACATTCCCGCAAAAAGTTTAACAGTTTTGTGCCATTTGTCAGATTTTTGTAATTTTGCAGTTCTTCCCGAATTTCATTCAAACCATATTATGTTTCGCAATGTTGGAATCAGATGATGAAGAAGGATACTTGTTAGGCTCTTCATGCTCAGATACCAGTATTTCAACAGAACAGTGCGACTATTCTGAAAATGAAACTCTTTCATGCTGAACCTGGGTGCCGCTATGTTTGAATAACTTTCCTCCAGCCCTGCCAAGATTCCCATTCCAACAACAAGTAGGTGCAACAATTGACACTTCTACTTTTACTCAAGAAAAACAATATTTTGAGCTATTTTTCGATGACAATTTGATTCACACAATTACTGAAGAGACTGAGAGATATGCACAACAATGCATTGAAAGACAACATCTGAAGCCAAAAAGGTGGGTGCCTACAAATGACAATGAAATGAAAATATTTCTGTTGCTCCAAGTTTTACAGGTTATAATTCAAAAGCCTAGTGCCTCAATGTCTTGGTAAAAAAAGCAATGTCTTGAAATTCCATTCTTTCGCACAGTTATGCCCTATGACAATTTCAAACGATAAGAAAAAAATCATATTTTGTGAACAATGAAGAAGTTCACTTTGAAACACTAATGCAAAACTGCACAAAATTTGGCACATTTTTCAGTTTCTTAATGCCGAATTTTGTTCACTTTATGTCAAAAATCGTGATGTCACAGTTGATGAAAGCCTGATGCTATATAAGGGTAGATTGGGATGGATCCAATACATGCCTCTAAAAGATCTTGGTTTGACATAAAAACATTTATACTATGTGAGAGTAAGACTGGCTACATTTTTTTCAAGCATCATCTACATGGGAAAGGGCACAAAGCTTAACAAATATGTACTTATCAGCATGTCTGGTCAAGTAGTTATGTCACTGATGAAAAAGGCTGTTAGGCAAAGGATATTGTTTGGTCACAGATAATTATTATACTTCTCCACAGTTAGTTGCTGAGCTTGTGCAACAATATTCCACAGACATATAGAGAACTATGTGGGCAACCAGGAAGGATTTACCACTAAAAAAAATTGATACAGAATATTAAATTACAAGCATTTTCCCCTTGCATTTCATTTAAAATTATTTCCTCAAATTTCATTAGAGATATATTTCTTATTTCAATTAATTCACTTCTCATTTCCCGACAAGGGAAAAATACATGCAACCTCAAAATATCCTTATTAAAAACTGAAAAATATAAAACATAAATACAGTTGAAACAATTTAAAGAACAATTTTTACAATTAAAATTAAATTCTAGGTACCCAGGTGTATCAAACACCATTCCACATGGCAACAAGCAATTTGGCAAGTAGGCAGATTTTTCGGTGCACAAAACTGAAAGTTTACTTTAGTCTCACTCAGCAAAAAGACACTGAAGACATAGAAACCGACTTAATTTGTTGTGGACGTTATCAGGGTTCGTACACATTTCCTTACATGAAAATTAAGGACTTTTAAGAACCATCAAAGAAAAAATTAAGGACCTATCAGCCAGCAAACAAACACAACAAAAAAAAAAAAAAGAATAGAATAACGCAATTATCCATTTAAAAAACTAACAAAAGTATGTATTATGCACTATTATTAAATTCAATTTAATACTTAACATAAAACAATTTAAAAAATTAAACTAACTCCCTACAAGTTATGAAGTAGATAACATTAAATTAAGAACATAATTTCTTGAAAAACATGTATAAGTGTATTTTACACTAATAACAGCCACAGATATTTTAGAGATTTACATGACTATTATTTAACTTATTTGATATTTATTTAAACACAGTCTACTACTATTATAATTGCAATGTAAGAATATTTTGCAGATTAAAATAACAGATTTGTAAACATACAATTTATTTCTTTGGTTTTTTGAATAATAAACTGTACAATAAAAGATACAAAACATTTATACTTTTTTAAAATCTGAAATTTTTTAAGATATTTTAACATCTAATTTATTTATGTCTATTTCATTTTCTTTAACTATTCTTCTAAGTTCATTTGCTTTGATAAACAAATCAATGTTCCTGTTCATCTGCTAAAAGCATCTATCAAAGCTGCTGCTGATCTCATTTCTTTATTAATTTTGATATTAAGAATACCTCCAGAAAATTTTATGTAATCAAATAATGTGCGTTGAGAAATGTATGATGAGTCACTTAAATTTTCAATTTCAATTGCTTTATTTACAGAGAAGCCCCTTTCCACAGAGGCCTGTCCATGTGACAAGATAAGAATCATTTTCACTATTTTCAATACTTTAGAATAGTGAAAATCATGAAAATAAGAAGTGAGAAATTTGTCAAGAGATAGATTTTGAGGATCAAAAGCAGAAAATTCATGTAAATTTGTCTTAACTACTTTGTTTAGAATCTCTCCAAACTGCAGCAGAATTTCATCACAATTATCTTGTAAAACACGTTTATTTCGCGTTAATACCGTTAGAACTATTTTCATTTTGTTCTGGGCTTTTTCTGGACTTTTAGCCCTCAACTGTGGGTCTATACAAGATACATTTTGAATAAGAGAATGATTTATTGGACATTTAGCCATTAAGTGTTATACCATTGTTAAGACACATTGTTGACCTTGTTTCAATGCAAAACTTGCAGCTTGTGAAATGTCCTTCTTGCGCCATTTATCATTTCATTAACTGCTCAGCAATGAATCCCAAATAAACTTTACTTTTATCATTATAACAATTTGGATCATTAAAATTAAATTTATAAAGATTTTCTGCTTTAGTTATTTTTGAATATTCTAGTTTCAAAATTTTAAAGTGCTAAAAGCAATCATTTACAAGTTTTAAGATATCTTCAGAAAGAAAGGGAATAAGTGGTTTATCGCTTTGATAATATTCAAGGAAAGGCAATAATATTTTCAACAGAGAGAGAAAGAAATTTAATTTTATAAGAAATGTTTTATCCTTAGTTGCCTCCAAAATATTTGAGAAGGATTTCAATGAATTTTTTTTAAACTGCCGCATTTCAACTTTTTTAATGTATAGTAGCAAGTCATCCCATATTTCAATGGCTCTTTCAACTGCTGGGACATTTTGCAACCATCGGTAAAAGCAGAACTTCACCAGCAAAATTTTAATTAAAACATTATTATTATTATTATTATTATTATCTATCAGATGATGGAGTAAAGATAAAAATTCTGAAATAATTGGTTATATTGTTAAACAAAAATGTATGAATTTTTCTTAGGCATTATATTTAAACACTTAAAAAATGTACTATATCGATAAAAAATTGTGACATCGCGAAATATTCTAGGCAAGCATTCCTGCAGAGATTCCGGTACATTGCTAAAATTGCCATAAGAATGCGATATTGGCAATACCATAAGCACGTTTTCTCCGTGTAGCAACCATTCCGCTTATCGGCCATTTTCTTTTAATTTATTAATCTTCCGTTTCTTTTATTTTTTCCTTATCATTTCAACACTGACTTTTTATTCAGGATTTAGTTTTTATTTTAATTTCTAGTTATAAATAGGTGAAATTAGCTTAATAACAAAAGATAATTTCAATCATTATCATAATGAAATTTTATATCGACCAACTATTTGGATAACTGATGCGATATTAAAATTCAATAACATTCTTCTGAAAGCAGTACCTCTACATATAACAAAACAAAGAGTCTCTCTGTGTCTCTTTTCTTCGCACTGTGTGTAAGCTAATAGACCCACGGCTGTGAAATTTGGTACATAGGTGCATCTAAACAAGAGCCAGTGCACCTCGAAGCGATTTTTTCGAAATTCGAATTCGAATTTTTTAAATTTTATGTTTTGTGACGAAATCGCGTCATTTTGAGACATAATGGGCTATAGGAAAGCGAAATTTTACTCTACACACTCCATTTTCACATCGTCATGAAACGTAGGCACTTAGCTATTTTACGAACTTAAAAAATTTCGTTTTTCAATAAATCGATTAAATAAGAATTTATTTAACAAAGGGAGCTTAACACCTTTTCAATGGGATTTTTTTAAAAAAAGTTTATTTTTAAAAATGTACAGTTTATTTTTCTTTGATTTTTGGACACGTTAAACTTTCATCCTTGCGACTGCTTTTACAAAAAGAATTTTGAAAAAATTATAATATTTTGTATTTTTAAAAAAATTTTTAAATGAAGCTCCGTACACTTCTCACATCTTTAAAAATGTGATTTTGGCAACTCCTGTCTTATTGTTCTTGATAGATTTTTGATGAAATAGCATCATTTTGAATAGTTTCATTCTTTCAGAAATATGGGTTTGGCAACAAATTTTCATCATATTCCTTATGTCACTGTTTTTAATGATTGGCATAATTCATTGTCATTTTTATATAAATATAATACATATTTATTGAATTTTTTTGATAAAGTTGTTCTGTAGAGTAAAATTCTGTGTGGAATTTTATGTTTTTTTTGAGTTGCTTTCATGTTATTTTTTGCTTA